CCCCCCAGATGCGTCATTCAACCACATGCAGGAGTTTAATGACAAGCCCTTCCTTTCCTTTTTTAAAATAAAAAATTAAAAAAAATAATTTAAAAACAGGTAGTAGTAAGAATAATTCAATAAGAATAGCCCATTCATGCAGGTTTCTTAGATTTCTTTACATTGATGAGCGTCTGATTTCCCCATAACGCCATCCATATGTCATATAAGGTGTGGATACTCATGACCATTCACTGATGCCACGCATATCTCACACAATGTGTGACCACCCCTGACTACTCACTAGCTCCACAGATGACTACTCATTGATGCCAAGCATATCTCACCTGACCACTTATTGATGCCACACACACACATCTCAAATAATGTTTTGATCACTCTTAACAACTCGCTAGTTTCACACACATCTCACAAGTGTAACCACTCCTCACTATTCACTGATGCCACACACATCTCACACAATGTGTGACCACTCTTGACAAATCAGTCATTGACGCCACACATATCTCAAAGGTATAACAACTCCTAACCATTTATTGATACCACGCATATCTCACAGGTGTTTTTTTATAGTAGAGGATTTTACGGCGCTCGCAACTTCATAAGGTCATATGAGCCCCAAGGGGTGGGTGTCAACAGAGAAGTGTTTACAGGGAATCAGACTTATTCTGCTCACTTCTGTAGCTTCAACAGCACAAGGTCTGCTTCGACTATCAAGGCACCACGGAAATAGCAAGTCACAAGAGAGTGACAAACATACACAAGAAGTAGAGAAAAACGACAATAGTAAGGATTAAGAAAGCAAAAGCACAGTTCCCTGTTGTAGATCAGGCACAGTTATGAGCGTGACATGAATCAGCCCATTTACAATTCTACTGTGCTTGAACGAGAAATGTCCCCCCCCCTTTGGGAATGGCCTAAAGACACTTCAGTCAGTGGCACTGCCCCGGGGGGTTCTCACAGGTGTGACCACTCATGACTAGTCATCGATGCCACCCATACCTCACAAAATGTGTGACCACGGAAGACAACTCAGTCATTGACGCGTTAGATCTCACATAATGTTTGAAAACTCATGACCACTCCTGACCACTCACCCCTGACTACTCACTAGTTCCACACATGGCTACTCATTGATGCCACACATATCTCACAATTGTAACCACTCCTGACCACTTACTGGTGATTCTGTTCTGGACGACCATGGGCCCGGCGGTGTTAATCCCGTCACTGGCAGTCACCAGGAAGGTAACCATGCCTCGACACTCGCTCCTCATGTCCACGGTGTTCCGGATGGCGCCCGAAGCTGAGGGGAGAGAAATAGAGAAATGTATTTCCTTTTTTTTAAGTTTGCAGGCATGTACATACAATCACACGTATTATCTATCTATCTATCTATCTATCTATCTATCTATCTATCTATCTATCTATCTAT